GGGGGGGGGGGGGGGAGATGGGGGCTTCTCCATTTAACATATTGCTTAGGAAATATACTTCATGTATAATCTGGGCTATTGTATGTAAATACATATTATGTACTTACATATCTACATATTATGGAAGGATAATCATCACTACCTCACTAAAGAGAAGACATCCAGAAAAACTATGTGTTTAAGCTCAGACAAATCTGATTCTCCTTCTTGGCCTCAAATTGCTTGAATGGGAGTTCTTGGCTAAAAAAAAACCAACCCTATGTACTTTAAAACATGCACAAAAACTTTTAAGACATCTCTTTGAGTATCCTTTGCCTCATCTGTAATGATTTTAAATCCTCCATGTTCATGATGATGACACAAAGATTAAATAAATCTGATTTGGTCTATAGTAATTGTTCAGGGAGGAGTTTCCACCTTTCTCCCCAACTATCCAAGATAATGAGACTTTTCTCTGTTTTCACAACTGCTTGTTGCTAGTGCCAGAGCCCCCCAAGCCAAACCCAACTTCCAGAGTGTGGGTGGCAATTTACCATGGATTTGGTAGCAGCAGCCTCTCTTAGGGGTGAGTCTTGCTGCTAGTGGCCTTCCTAGACAGAACTCTTGCCCTGTTTTTGAATGTCCTTGACTTAACAGCAAGTATATTTTGGATCTCCTGCTTGACATGGCTTTCTCTGCTAAATATGCTTTTGATTCTGCTGAGGTACTTAAAATTTTGTGACACTAAAGGGTGTTAAGGGTCTCTTTACTGTAAAATGGAAGTGTTCCTTTCAAACTGAAGCAAAGCTGAAGCAATATAAAGAAGGAAAGACCACGTCAGTAAGGCTTTAAGGCTTTCAAGCACCAACTCAGTCCTTTGTTACACAGAGGAGCTCTTGGGTTGTGGTATGGCTGCATTTAGCACCGTTGGAGGTAACGGGTTTTGTCCCTGGTGCAGTGATGGACAAGGAGAACCCAGGCCAGCACCTGCACTGCTGAAGTCATGCTGCACCACCAGGCATGTTACAAAGAACAGACATCCCTTTTAAAGCAGATAGATCCCAGTCTAACATGCCCTTCTTGAGCACCAATTACTCCCCATTGCTGACAGTTCCTGGTGGGTTTGTAAGATCAGATGGCGACAGAATTAATGGTCTTTTGCTTTCTGCAGTTTTTAAGACAGTAAAGGAAAACTGCAAAGTGAACAGAACAAAGGGAGGGATAGTCTAAAAGAAGGAAATGACATCTGCAGGCGGATGAACTGAGGTACACACTCTACTCCCTAGTCTAGGACTGTGTAATACATAAGCTGAAAGACACGTGACTGCCTAAATTTCTCTCCCTGGTCTCTTTTTCTTCCCCAAGTACCTCCTCTGAGAAATCTCACAGACTGCTGAGAAAGGGAAGGTAAAAGCCAGGTATCTTCCCTCATTGTTTTGCTGGGAATGATTTTCTGCTTCTTACTCAGTAAACAAACTACTGAATACTCTGAGGCTAGTGGAGTTCTGTGTGGGTTATCTGCGTTCCCAGTTCCAGGCTCACAGCAGGACTCTGGCCCTGTTAATAGCAGTTTCTCCACGCAGCTGAAACAGCCTCAGCCTTTGTGGCCTTTCTGGGGCTCTTGAGAGGCCTGGAATAGACAACAGCACCTGTCTGAGGTAAGCTGACACTGAAACTGAAGGCAATAGCAAATATGTTTGCGGATGGAAAACCTCTCCTAAACCACCTGCATTGTCAGAGGTGGAGAATCAAGAGGGCTAGAGAAAGGTTTAGCAGAAGGTCTGTACAAGAGGGAAGAAAGTATGCAAATAAACAAAGACTTGGAAAGAACAAAATGCAGTATAACTACAGCAGTGGTCAAGAACAGAATAATACAAACAGAGGGTGAAAAGTCAGGCAGACTTTTCTGAGGGGAAAGTGGAGCTTAAAACTAAAGGCAGAGGCAGGAGGAAGCTAACAGACAAGCCCAGCCAGAGGAGGAAACAAACCTCATTCAGCAGTGTTAACTCTCTATGAAATAGTCTCACAAACAACGAACACAGTTTATCGACACTCTAACAGCATTATCAGAAGTGTTGACACAGAGGGTACTTAGTAAAAGGAGAGTATTAAAAATGGCTTTTCCTCCCTCTAGTGCTCAGCACAGAGGACTTGATGATGGAAAGGGCCAAAACAGATTCTGTTTACTAGAGGTAGTGTCCTTGATAGAAGAAGGCATCCTGGTGGGACAGGCTGTCTCCAGTACTTGCCTTGGAAATACACAATGTTTGATGTTTATTTCCCCAGTGAAAATACCCATAGCATAGGATTCCTCTTCACTTGAACAGCCCCTATGGTTTTCTTCTGTTGCTCAAATCAGGTAACACTGGTGATACAGGAAGCAGTTTTTTCAAAAATCCTTCTTTGTCCACCAGCAACCACAAGAAAATGCCAAGTGTGAGTTCTCATTCTGTAGCCTCCCTTTCTAAGACAAGTGTGTTTTCTGTCTCTTTTTTTGTTGTTATTTCCCAAAGCTCAGAGCAGCTCAGTAGCATATGGAAATGGAATTTGTGTATGCATTTCATTTTCATTCTCTTCATCTTCTTCATGGACAAAACTGGCTGGCTCATGTTGCTCAGACTGTACCCTTGTCTCAAACAGCTGCTCTTCCAGGAAGGAGCTCCCAATGCCATACTGCTCATCATGTGCCTTTGTTTCTGCAGGTGAAACATGGGGAGATCCCAGAACAAAAGCTGCAAACCTGCCAAATTTTGAAAGGGAGATGTGATCAGCCTAGAAATTAATAGAACAAATACTGTAAATTGTAGGGAATTGCTATTTAAGCAGGAGTGCTGTAAGGACATCCCCACAGGCAGTGCAGATGAGGGGAAGTTCCAACGGATGGCAACCCCAAAGCTTGGTTTCCCGGCTCAGCTTTTCAGTATTTTCTGTAGAAGTAACTTTTGCTCTTCTGGAAACCATCTGCAAGGTCTTGTGACTAAGCAAGAAGATCTAACTTCATTTTCATGTCTTGTCAGTACTTGCAGGGTAATCCAGAGTAAGCATTTCTACAGTGGGGTAGTTGGTACTTTTGCTTCTAAAAATTAATTAAAGCTGTAGCATATTTGAGACAAAGGCTGTAAGAATTCAGGTGTGTTGATATTGCTAATGAAAGGAAAAAAATGGCAAGAATTCTGCACTCCTACATTGCGTGAGTCACCTTGTTGCTAGTGCTGTGTGTGCAATGTGGGCAAGCTGAGCTCAAGTCTTCCCAAAGAATTCCTCCTCTGGTGAAGATGGAGCTGCAGACTGGGAATTCTGTAGCTGCTCCAAATAAATGCCAGAACAAAGCATGAACTTAGCACTGTCCATATACTGCAATCTGCCACAAATCCTACTTTCAGTGGGCAACTCCATTGAGGAGAGAGAATGGAGCTGGAGGTTTCTGGCAAGAGTGTGAGAACAGACGGCAGTTCTGACACCTGGGTAAGTGTCAACAGCATCAGAGAAATGTATGAAAAAGGAAATGCAGCTATATTCTGGAGTTCTGGTAAACTGATCAATAATTTACATTTCAGACTTAACATTTCTGTGAGATGAATGTCGTCACCTCGCTGTTCTTGGAAGCTCTGTTAGTCTAAATGGGGAACAGGTTTGCCTTGGGATGAACCACAGTCTGATGCTTAATGGGAGCTGGGAGGAGTTCTCTAAATCTGATTGCTGTTGATTCTCCTTTTTATTTCCCTATTTTCAACCAGTGAACAGTTTATAACAACTCTATTAATGAAATGACAGCTAGAAAATACATGTGTCTCAGTTGTTTTGTACATTCAGTGGGATTTAGCTCTACAGTACAACAAAAAGCTTTCACCTTTTTATCTCTCCATCATGCTAAAGGAAGGCAAGCAGCTTAGAAAGTAAGACTGTAAACAGTAAATCTATAAAACCTGGCAGAGAGGCTGTCTGTGTGCCAATCCAAGGGAGATGAAGGTTCTGAAACTGGATTTAACTTGTTACTGATTAAATTCCAAGCTGACTGGGGTTCCTTTAAAACCATGACACTTGGTTCTGTGGCAAGGACTAAGTCTTTGTGGCTGGCTAATATATGAAACTCTGCTTCTGATATCTCCAAGTTTTTGTTTTGATGGGAATACAGTGTTACGATTAATTTTACATTCTGCAGGGTTTTCTGGCTTTGCTTGTTTGACCCTTCCTGCCCTATATTTGTTTTGGGTTTATCTCTTAAGCTATACGTGGTACGGCTCTTCTAACTGTTCTACTTGCTAGTTGCAGGTATTGATTTATTTCTCTGTATTCTAAATCTTATATAGTGATACTTCAATAATAGGATTCCCTGACTGCAGGTTTGTAGTTGGAGAGCTTGTGAGTTGGATAATATGTGAGTATGTATCTTCACCCTGCCCCAATTTTACACCACAGAAAAGGGTACAGCTCTAAAACCTGAAGGAGGGAAATTTCACTGGTTAGAGAGCCACCAGGGTCTCTGCAAGAGCTTACAGAGACACTTAGAAAGCCTTTAAGTTCTGTGACCATAAATTAGCTGTGAAGGTCTGCAAACTCCCAAGAGTAATTTGTGGTCAGGGAGGAACAAACAGAAATTTAATGCCACCAGCAAGTTATACCCTTGAGAGGTGTGGCTGTGGTCCTGAGTGGGATATGCAAGATAAAAACACCTGGAACGGTGCCTGAAGTGGCATTTAGATCTGCTGTGTGCCAGTGTCTGTGCAATGCATTTCCTGTTTTAGAGGAGGCAGGTTTTCTTACCTGTGTGGGGCCTGGAGTTTGGATATAGCTATCCAAGATGGGAAGTCAGGACTCCTGCAGAATGAGCGCAGCTCCTCCAGAGCTCTGATAGTTTCACTTTCACCTTGTTCTCGGTATTCCTCTTCAGTAAGGTATTTAAACACCAATTTTTTTGATTTAAAGTGATGCTTCATTTTTCTAGAACATAATTAAAATAATCAGTATTTATAAAGTCTTCCAGCATGTAATTATCTGCCCTTTTTCTCTATACCTGCTATTAACATGCATTAGTCACCCCTACCCTTTCAAGAGAACAAGCTGCATTCTTACATTTGAGGACAAGGTATGCAGTGTTTGCTAGCCTGTTTACCCTAGGTCTGAACCAAAGCTGTAGAATTTCATATGATATTTAATGAGCTTCAGATGAGCTTTAGATCAGGTCCTTATTGTGTATGCATGGACTAAAATCTCACAGAATTAAAGAGATGGCTGCTTGCTCAGCCATTTTTAGGTGCAAAATGCAAAATGTGTCTGTGCAGAGACACGGGCTGAATCAAAACCCAGTCTGCATATGTTACTTGAAAGATAAGCAATGCTCTAAGCCTGTTGTGAGTTGTTCGTGTTGTTTACTAGATTGCTTCTCTTAAATCTTGCTCTAAATTACAAAACTGAGTAGTCTGAGGCCAAAATGTTTACAATCTGATGGTTTTTTAGCTGCTGCGTAGCAATGTATAATATAATTAGATATAAATTAGAAAGTGTGCCATGTTCTGTTTCCTTCTGTCGACTGCTTTCAATTTAAATGTTGTGATGAGTTAAGATAAGCAAGGGCTGGATGCCCATAAAACTTTCAGCTCTGTATAAAAACACCTGCTCCAACATCAGCAGCATTCAACTTTCCTCCTTATATCCCTTTAAAGCAGAGAACTGTAGCCATTGTTTAGGTCAAGTAGTGAAAGGTCTTGCTGGCTCAGTGAGATCCACTGCTCTTAACAAGAAATACTGCAAGATTCTAAATTATTTTGGTATATTTGCTGCTCTGAACTGTGTATCTGGCATCACAGCCTCACAGTTTGGTGCTGTGGCTTAAGGATTTTGAAACAGAAAAATTAGAAAGCCCTTATCATTCTCCTAAGAGAGATTTGTAGAACTGTATTTCTTTATAGAAGCATCCGTTCATTAAAACAAAAAAGAAAGAACCACATGAAGAATAATCTACAGTGTTTCAGTGTAAAACTTGAAAGTAAAAGTGAACTTGTGGCCACATCATCCTGATTCCAGAGTGTTCTGAACCTGATTACAACAGGTGCTGATCTTACATGTTGCTTTTGAAACAGCTGTTGCTCCTCAGCTGCAGGCAAAAATTGGTCTACAACAAATGGTAGATTCTACCTAAAATAAAAAAAGCTTCAACTCAGGCCACACTTCAGCATGTAAAAAGAGAGGATAAGACCAATGCAGTATGTTCTTCAAAACTAACCTGTGTGTAAAAAAAACCCAAACCCAAATTTCTTGGTTTTTATTATTTTGGTTATGCCAGTTCTAGCCTTTGCCTCTTCCTACTTCTCTGTCGTTCAGCAGAGTCCACAACTATGGAACAGTCTGTTCCAAAGACTCTGAAGCTGGATGCTATCCATCACTGAAGGTAAAAAACAGATGTCAATTGGCAGGGTTTTACAGAATCTTCATTTGAGGCGTTGCACTTGTGCTAAAACATTCTTCAAATTCAAGGATGAGCAAACACGTTGTTCCTGTATTGCTATTGAAAACACTTAGCAAGTTAAGCATTCCAAATCCACAATGTAAATGGGCCTCTAGGAATACTGAGGAATATCTCCATAGTTCTGATAGATTGCTTCTATGAATCAGAGGGAAGTTACAAACTTGGAAAACTAAAATCATGGAGAACACTACTGTGTGGAGATGTGATTTTAGTCTCTGAACTCTATTCAACCTCCAAAGACTGTCACTTTTGAACAGCTGCATCCTTGGTGATGGTACACTCTTTTACCCCTAAGATTCCATACGAGTTCCCTGCAGCTTCTCTCACTACACGTCAAACCAAGGCAGTATTGCTGCAGCCTAATCAATCAAACAGAAATGTTCTGGTTGCCATATGCTGTGGACTAGAAGGTGCTACATTTGTCCTAAGAACACAGTCACATTTTTCCATTATCCACATAACAAAACTCCTGCTTAAAACTGCCAAGTGGAAAATAATTTCTGTGTCTCTGGACCTTAAACCTTTCCTACTGCAGTTTTACATTTGGCAAAATTATGAAGTAGTACTAGAAATTCCTAAACCATTATTGAAGTGTAGGGTTTTTTCATTATCAGTTTCCAGTATTTCCTGGTTCTCCCAGGACCTGGACGTTCACACACAGACCTGGCAATATGACAGGCAGCACCCAGGGGGTAACACAGGCCTTTGGAGCAGAGGCTGACTGCTATGACTGCATATGCAACTTGAGGGATGGTGACACCCAAGTAGATCAGGACAAAGGCTGTTACTTGGAGCATCCATGTGAACAAGGTTATGCTGAGCTCCGTGGTCAGTGGCCCATGCTGATAGCAAATGGCAAAGCTGGTAATCCCAACAGCCAGAAAATACCCTGTAGGAACACAAAAGGACATGGAGAAAAAGATGAAAACTACCCCTATAAACTTTGCTTTGCTTCACAAAGCTTGCAGCTGCTGTGAAGTGTAACCTGCTGATTCTTGTGTTGTCTTACAGACAAGTGCATGATCTTTTATATTCTATTTCCAGAGTGTGCCAAGACTTCACACAGTTATCTCTGAACAGCTTTTAGCCAATGCTCTGGGCTGCACATGAATTCTCCTCACATGACCATGTGGAGGCAGGTGCCAGATCAATAGGTTTTTGTCAGCCCCTGCAGCCACATCCTGTTCCCAGTGTGCGCATCCATTTCCCACATCCAGCGAAGTGCAAACCAGAGGAGCTGCCCTTTTGCTCTTACAGGGAAAGTATGTAACAGCAAATCAATGAACAATAATGCAAGCAAAATCTGCTCTTAGAACTAGTCCTCTACGTCAAACTCTATTTAATGATACAATGTGAGTAAACACTCAAATGAGTGGATTAGGAACCTTTAGAATGTTTCAACATCTATGGCTTATGAGAAAATAGAGCTCTATAAATGAGTCACTTGATTTTCTATTTTTTATGGGGAGGTATTCATCTGACTACTAAATTAAACCAAAATCAGCAGCACATTTCTTGGTAATTTTCTTACCCAACAGGTAGTTTTTGTGTTCAGACCACAACCACTGTATATTCTCTTTGAAGCAGTAAATAAAATAGAGAGAGACCATCCAGGAGCCACTCATTAAAATCCAGAAGGTACTGTGCTAGAAATTAAAAACAAACAAACAAAGGTAAAAAAAATTCAAGTCAGAATCAGGACCATGGTTTCCAAAGGAACTCACAGGCCAAAATAGATGTGAAATTCTTTAGACCCTTCTTTAGGGTTTGAGACTTCCACTGCAGAATCCTCTGCATGCTACAACAAGAGTATCAATTACAAGCAGAGCAACTGCATCCCTGTGTTTGTGTATCGTGTCCCAATGTCACAGTATAACCCTATGGACGTGTGTTCCAAATTAACGTATCTCAGCAATATTATGGGAATACACAGGCTTTATAAAAGTAAAGGAAAAATTTACATCTGCCTTACAGTGAACTGTCTTTCGTGAATGGAAGAGAATCTGTCTCAGTTGCAACTATATTTTTATTTAGATTGATTCACAGATTCAAAGCTTAGCTCTAGTTCAATAAAAATAATTTATGTTTCAGAATATACTCTTCTTGTACATCACCAGCACCTGTTCAGTTTAAACTCAGGAGGAAGCTAAATAGAACTTGACTCTGACCTAAATATATTTACTTGATTCAAGCAATCCTGCAGTAATTTCAGTGCAGTTACCTGGCCACAAAACCAGAATAAGATCAGAATCAGGCTTTGTACCGTCACTCCTTGTATTATGATGATTGCTATTATTTTGCTTTATAAATGTAGATTTACCCTTGGAATAAATCTTTTAAGTGTCAACAGGACAAAGACTAGCAGAGCAAGAACACCCAGTATTATTCCAGAAAGGTAAAAGAACTTGGCACTCCTGTAAAGAGAACAAGAGAGAATATGGTGAGAAGTATCATTTGTAATTGATTAAGATGCCAACATTTGTAAAAACGGCAGTGATCTTCAATAAGAACTTAAATCAGCTGTAAGTTAGAGCTGTAGTTATATGGTCAACAGGCCCAGTTCAGGTATTGAATCTGTGTTAGGAAAAGTTCCCAACAGATACTTAAGGTCACTGGAGTTGTTACAGGTTAAGAGACTGTGCTGCAGTTTTTTTTAAGCTCACACTACTTCTGATTGCATTGACCTTCTAGTCTCTAGTACACAGAAGGAAATTAAATAACCAACATGGTTCTGTACTGCAAGAGAAGTTTAATATTCATTTAAAATGCAGAAAACCCTCCACAAACCCACAAGTTTTTTTTTTTCCTAAGCATATGCATTTATAAATTCCATCTTATTAATTCAGAGTTAATGCTATAAAACCTATTGCTGCTCTGCTTGTTTTAGAGGTGCCTCCTGACAATTATGTTGTGACTCACTTTGCTTTGAAGTTGTAGGCACATATTTTGCTGTAACAACTGAGTATCCTCCCTTACATGCTATGCAAAATGTGCATCAGAAGAAAGGCTGGCACAAAGGTGGAGGCAGAAGAGGCCCCAGATGACTTTATCCTAAATATTTCCCCTGCAGGAAGGCATCATTAATAATCAGCATTCTGCTATCCTCATGGTCTACGAAAGGGAAAAAGGACTTTTCTGATCCACATATTTGCCCACTGAGGATTGATTGTCTTGGTGTCCCCCAGTGCAGGAAGCTTGGATACAAGAACCCTAACACAGCTGATTGATAAATAGTTAGGTACTCCAACATATGTCACAATCTGTCCAAACACAAATGGTATGAGGAAGTTTTAAATATATATTTAGTTCCTTAATTCACTTTCCCAAAGAACTGCCTCTTTAGCTTAGCAAACAGACCAAAGATGCACAGACTTTGGGAAAGAAGGTCAAAAGCAGCTAGTACTCACCTGCTCAGGCTGTTTGCAAAATGGAACAGAAAAATTCCAGCTACAAACAAAAACAAGAGCTTTCCATCTAGCACTAAAAAGGGGGGAAAGAAATAGAAATTGACTTTAGACTAAATCAATCTGAAATGCTGATTATATAAAATATCAACAGAAAAGTCCTAAGCTTCTTACAGAAGAGATGGTACATTCAGTAGCACTGGCAATACCAAGCCATCTGTAATCTAAACTCAAAGATTTGGTACTTACTTTCTCTTTTCACCCTCACAATGTATGGTTCAATTTTGAAGGGTTGTATTTTGAAACAAACATCTTCTCCATATTGTTTTATGCTCAGAAAAGTTTCTGTACATGTCTCTGGCTTCCAGAGGATTTGAACAGCACATGCAGCAAACTCAAAAACAGTTTCTGAATTCCGACAGTTGTTTTTTTCTGAAATAGGCTCAAACCGGAACTTTTCTCTGCTGTTAACTTTTATCTAGAAACAAAGAACAGAATACACAGAGAAGCAGCTCAAAATCACTGTGGGGTTTTGTGAACTGTATCGTGTATCAGCCATGCATGGTAATGAAAATCAATCTTAATTGTTTCATATAGGTTATTTACTCTATGCAAAGATTAATTTAAGTTTACAATTAATCACCTCACAAGGTAACTCAGAGAACTCATCAGCAGCCAAGTTCAGTGGAGGGACCCCAATCTATGCAAAAGCACAGTGGGTTTGGTTGTACTGTGACACTTGCCCACACACAAATTTCTAACAAAACCAGTAATAGCTGACTGACCACAGTTTGTTTTGTGAATGTTCATACCCTTCCTCCTTCCCTTCCTGAACCGTAACACATTTGACTTGCTTTTCCTTATAATGCAATCTTCATGCTGGGGACATGAAGGATGACAAAAATGAAAGCTAGCATAACCAGAAATTTAAATAGAAGCACATTCTTGTTGGGTATTTTGGAGTTTTTTTGCTGGTTCCCAGTGCCCTCTCCCAACAAACTGGTAAAAGATTTTGCCCATCTTTTTAGTTGGGGTGATTTTTCTGAGAGCTCTGATACATTGTGAGCATTTCATCAGGGCCTACTAGACAACAAAGATCCATCTGCAAAAAGTGATGCAATGGGTAATAAACCAGGTTTGTATTGCGAGAGGAGATAATGTGTCAGCAAGCAATTTGTTGTGGAAAAAATCTGAACTTCCTGCATTTAAACACTGACTCCAGGAAAGTTTGTGTGACTGATGGAGGATTTTACCACCTGGAACCTGCTACCATTCATAAAAAACATCTGCAACATGTTCCTGAGGAAAATAGTCCTGGGAACAGACAAAGAGATGTTCTACTTTCTTGTATCTGAGAGAAAAGTCCTCCAACAGAGACAAGATGAAACAGTTTCCTTCCTTTGTCTGGAGACATACTTTTCAGGAAAAAAAGGAACCATGGAGATGGTTAGCTCATTCCTTTAGCTGTTACTGCTTCCACTCTTGAAGAGATGTTTATTTGCTTCAAACTAATCTCTAAATGTGTGTCTTATAAGGTGACCCTCTGTTAGGAGAACAAACACACTGCTGCTGGTATTTTTTCATTAGTCACAATCTAATGACAATCCTAAATTAATGTTTTTGTGGCACTATCATACTCTAAGCCTGGCTGACATCCTTACAGTAGAGACCAAACTGCACTGCATCCCAACTGGAGGCTCATAATGCTGCATTTCTATCATGGTCCCACTCAAACCATTAATTCCATTAATAACCATTAATTTAATTTCATTAAAACCATTAATTTCATAGAGATGCTGCCCTGATCTTGCTAACTAGCCATGTGGTTTGCTGGGAAAAGCTCACATGAAATACATTGACTGATCCCCAGAACAGCCTCTTACCTGGACAGTCGACCACAGGTACTGTAAGTGAATTGTTCTGTTTTGCACATAGCAATAACAGTTTTCATCCTGCTTCTGGATGACATCCATTTCCTGCAATAAGCTGCAGTTTTTACCTGGGGGGGAACAAAACAGTTAATTTTAGGCATTTGTCAAGTACAAATGTCTAATTTTAGTCAATTTCATTGTTGTAAATGCTGACAAGAAACATTTCCAGTATGATTTAAATGGAAAATCAAATTTGACTTCTAATCAAGTCATTTAGGCTCTAAAGTAAACTGCAACACCTTTGGAAAAAATATATCCAGGGTGGTATTTTTAAAAAATGTAATCCAGAAAAGCTTGGCTTCAGCATTAGTGTTTTGATGGCAAAGGAACAGGGCCTCTGGGCCAAATTCACTGCTGGCATGAGTGGGTGTAACTCCACCACAGTTCCCTATACCAGTGGTGAACACAACTGTGGGAGTCTGAGCAGGTAAACAGACTTACATATTAACACAGTCATTTAGCACATGACACGGCTGCTGATCACAAAAGTCATACTCCTCTCCCTCAGAAATGTGAAATCACACAACTCTTCTTTTTAGAACGTTTTTTCTCCTGTCACAGTCCAGCCATGGCATGTAGTAAAGGAACTGCACTGACAGCTCAGCATAAATCATTGAATTAGAGATGTGAATTTTTCTAACCCTCCTGAAATGTTAGTGAGCCCCTATGATCTTCAGAATTAGATTACATTTTTGAACAGAAATGGACCTAAAAGATTAATGGAGCAAAGTTTGAATAACATACATTCTGATCTATATACATGTGTAAAATATAACCTACAGTGCATTACCACAGTGTTTCAAGAACATAATTAAGAAAAGCATAGAGGAAATAATTACACATCTGAACAGAAGGACTCATCTAGCTTACTGAATAGAAAATGTAGGTCTCAGCCAAGCTCAGTAATAACTGCTAACATGCTGTCATGCACTCAGAGCAGCAAAATGGGTGTGTGCAGTCTCAATCCAGACATGGAGATGCTGTTTGCAGGTAAAACCCTGCTGTGTCTCTATAAGGAAGCTGAAATTAAGCTAAATTATATTTTAACAAATTTAGTTAAGCCAATGAAAAATTCTGTGTGGATGTTCTTATTTAGGTTTATTATAGTTCTTACTTAGGTTTATTATAGCGTTACAGAATTATTGTCCACACACGATCCTACTAAACTGGTTTAACCTTGAAATTTGGGCATTTTTCCTATGGAAAAATTAACCATGGGATTAATTTTCATCCAAGGCAAATGGGATGTGGGAAGGAGCACAACCACTCAGACAAGCGCTGGCTGTACCTTTAGGCAGGCACTTTCACAAAACTCATCGCATGATGCTGCAAAAGGATTATTTGTCACTGAAGTGCTGCCGATTGACGCAGCAAGGTGAGGCTGGGCACTACCCAGGCCTAAAACCGAGATAATCCAGGAAGAGGAAATGGCAGGGCCAAAACACAGCCCGGTGTCCACACCTTCCCTGAAGGGCATCTTAGGGCATCCTGTCACTATGGATAAAGTACCCATCCGTGTCAAAGGCAATGCCATCCACATGCAAGGCTAGCAAGTATTCTCTTACTACCCATAGTTCTAAGGTATTTTTCTTGAGAAAAATCAGGCGCTTGAAACGTTGCATCAGCTCGGCAGAGTGAAACAATGATATTCCAAAAGGAGAGATGCTTCCGAACAGGTAACTCTGACGTGGTGCTGGGTTTAGCTACTGGGAGGACACACAGGTAGAGTAACTCAAATTCTGAGACTTCAAGCAAAGAAATTTGGAATTATGAGCCATCAGCATCTGCTACAGCATCCGGAGGACGCCCAAGACTCGAGAACGTCAATGCAAGGAGGAAGCCGGTTCTCGATTTCCTTATTGCTACTATACCTGAGAAGAGCCTTTAGGGGTTTGCCTGCCCTCAAACACGTTAATAAAAGATCCGTTCTGCACCCGATTGCCCTGGCCCGAGCTCCTGAGAAAGCCAGAGGGAGCTGCACACGCAGAGGCGGCTCCCGGCCCCGCCGCTGGAGCGGGAGGGACGCGCCCGCCCTGTGTGCGCCGCGGTCCCTTTGTCCGGGCGGGCTCTCCCGGGCCGGTTCCCAGCGCCCGCCCGCCGTCCTGCGGGAACCGAACCGCGACGGGAGAACAGGGGACACGGCAAAGCGCCTGAGGCCGCGGCTGGCCCG